GCTAGCTGGGAGCTTTCTTTCTGAGCTGGAAGTCCTGGAGGAGGTCAGTGGTTTAGTTAATTCTCAAAGCCTTCTAATCCTTGGAATGCGATTTTAAAATAGTTTGTTGCTGCTGCTGCTGCTGTTCGGGGCCACCGAATCACCTCTGACCCATGGCAACCCTATGAAAGAATTACCTTCCTTTCTCCCTGGTACATTGCCTTGAGGTGCTTGTAAAGTGTCTGCAAGGTGAATAGAATTCCCAGGATGGAGAATGATGGGGAAGCACCGGACAAACTGCTTCCTGGACTGGTGCGAGGAGACCGATGCTGAGTGTGCATGCCGCGCGGTGTGCTGTAAGCGGACCCGCCCATCCAAGGAGAGGGTCTGTTAATCTCAAGCATCGGTAGTGCCAATATTCATATTTGTGTCCCCAGGGATACAATGACGAGTATCCCACATCTACTCCCAACCCTTCGCCAAGTACCTCAAGACACTGGGCTATTCTGCTAGGTACCTCGTGTCCCCAGGGATACAATGACAAGTATCCCACATCTACTCCCAGCCCTTCGCCATGTACCCCAAGACACTGGGCTATTCTGCTAGGTACCTTTTCTCACAGTTCTCTGTGTCTGAACGTTCAAGGATGCACTGCCACACAATCTGATGTGGTACAGGCCAAACTGGAGCTGACTCAACTGACTGTGGAGTGCATCAGTTTACCAGCATAGCTGAAAACTCAGGGTCACCCTGGCTGAGCAAGGCAGGCCAAGTGTGTGGACGCAGGGGTCCAGCTGCTTAACAGATGTTCATGAGGGAATTCAGGTCAAACAAATGCCGAATCCATGTCAGTTGCTTGTCACTAGCAGGGTAGAAACAAAGGTTTAGGATGCCTGCTCTGGGTTCATGTTCATCCATGTTTTTTTTTAAAGGGGGGGGGGTTTAAAAATGAATACAAAGGAGAAAAATGTAGCCTCTCTGGGCCATCTGTTCAGGTGAAAGTATGCCACTTCCTCATGTTTACCCCTTTCTACAAGGCTCAGATGGCAATCCATTACCACTTCATTGCATCCGGAGTAAGAGGCGGCTATTGTTTCTCCAAGGCCACAGGCTGGCTCGCTCTGGAAGCTCTTTTCTCATTGGCCGACAGCAGCACTTCAGCCATCAGGCAATAAATGGAAGTGTGTTAAGCTCATGCCTTCAAGCCCGGCTGTCATCATTTCCTCAGTGGGGGGTCTCTTTTGTCTCTCCTTGGCTGAGAGACAAACACTGTTGATAACACTGGACAAGCCGAGAGCGGCTTTCCAATGGTGGCAGAAAAGAAATGAGAAGGAAAATCCTTGCCGGTTCCAGAAAAGCTTAACTCTGCAATGGCCTTTGTACTCCATATGAAGTTTTCAGATATGGTTGTTGCAAACGAACCTCCAGAATTTCATGCATCCCACCGGGGTTGAGGGGCTTGGCAGGCCATCAGATCGAACAAGCTACAGCATCTCCAGGAGAACAAAACAAGAACCATGCTGGAGACGAAGGCCACCACTTTGCTGGACAACTTGCTTGGCAACAACTGTTGCCATCAAGATGCATCTCTTAATAATTCAGATGGCTCTTTAGTCCAGCGTTTATATCCACACCGTGGCCAACCAGTTGCCTCTGGGAATCCCACCATCTTCTCTTGGTCACCTTCTTACTAAGACAGATGATTGTTTGGGCTCAGCTTGAAAAGGGAGAGTCACCTACCATGCTCAAAACCTTGTTTGGTAACCACTGTTGCCATCAAGATGCCTCTCTTAATTACACCGTAATTTATTTCTTGAAGAAATCCCAGCAGTGTTGTGACAAGCTGTCACATGGTGCATGAAGGTGGTGGTGATGTTCCATCCTTTCCCTCCCAATATCTGGCACACCAAGAAATGAAACATCTGAACACAAAGGTTCCATTCAGGAAGGATGGCTGCTCACCACCGGACAGACCTGTTTCTCCATGGCTATGTCGGCTCCCTTTGAAAAAGTCAACTTAGCTACTAGCTGCTGCCCCATCTCTTGGTAACGAACTGCATGCGTTAATGACTCCTGGACGTCATCCAGTGAACCAAGTCCAGTCCCTTCTGTGCTAATGAAGCCATTTGCAAACATGCGGCAGAAATATTTACCAAACATGGTTAAACAGACGTCGGGGATGAAAAGCACTTAAGATGTCCAAGGCCTCACACTGGTAAGATGGCTCATGATGCAGGCTGCTGTTCAGTAATGGATTACTATTCGAAACACGGTGTTCGTTATTCCACTGAGCGGCATCTAATTAACTGTCAGAAATGCATTGTTGAGGGGATGATGGATTATCCAGTTGAAGACATTAATAAAATTCATTCCAGTTTCCTCATGTGCTGGCGGGAACCAAGCAGAGCTGGCAATGGAAGGGGCCCACTTACTATTGGTTTTGCAAACGTTACGTGAGTGACAATCTGAAGAAGAGACAATTCTGCGATTAACTATCTCCTCAATGCAGTCTTTGTACCAGGCCAACGTGTCAGACTAATCTCAGCCCTGTAAGTCTTCTGTGAAAGATGTTTCACACATTACATTGGAGCAGGGCTGGGGGAGAATGTTATTTCAGGGACTCTGCTTGTCAGAATTTTCAGTATTTGCAAGCGTCTTTCAGTATTTTGAATGGAAAGAACTGAAGTGGGGGAGAAGTGAATGGTTTGCATGACAGAGTTGCTAGAATTCTCTGTTCAGAACCCTTTGCAAATTTGGGTTTGAATCCTTGTCTATTCAGCCATGTTTTTTGAGCTAAATCAAGGTTGGTCTTCTGAAAAGCCCCTTCATAAGCATCCTTCAGTCTCAAGAAACTATGGTAACATGTTCTGTATGGAGGACTTCGACTGTATGCGAAGCTGAAGTGTCCTCTCCAGAGCATGAAGCCTGGGTAGAATAATATGGAGGATAGGCTGTTACCCAAGCAGCAAATCCCCCCTCTCCACATCGCTGAAATAGTCCAATGGAAAGGCAAGAGCCAATACAACTGGTTCCGGTGACGTCACAGGAGTTGCCAGAATGACACGAACTGCCTCCGGGACTCCGGCTCCGGATTTTGCCTTGAGGTTAACTCCTGAAGCCTTTTCCATCAGTGGATATAGCCACAAGGCAGTGGAGGTTTGAAATCGGAGTTTTCCTTCTTCTAGATGGGCTGCCTTCCAAGGCTAACGAGCCCCACCTACCTGGCCTGCTTGCTCACCATATGGGTGATGGCAACACCTCCTCCTTCTCCTCACGGCATGGGGGTTTGGGATCAGAGTTTTCCTTCTCCTAGATGGGCTGTCTTCCAAGGCTGACGAATCCCCTTAATATCCTTAATATAGGCAGGACAGTCAGAAACAACATGGTCCTCTCTATGCTGGGCATAGCTGCACTTGATTCAGTTTAGCTATGATGGTCAGGGGAAATTAGAAATTCAGGTCATTTTTGAGGAGTTTACCAAAGTTCTCAAAGCATATATTGAAGAGGAAAAGAACTTGAGGTTTTAGAAGTTTAAATACAAGAAGAAATGAAACTGAGCCATTTGCCCATCCTGATATTGGAAAAAACTCAGACTGGGAGTTCAAGACCCTTGAAACTATAAGTGGACAACCTTGTCAGAGGCATATGAAGCTGTCACACAGGAGAGTGACTGTGTATTGATGTCTAATGGCAGAGCCACGTCTAGGGCAGGATGACTGGGAATAAATGCACACACATTTGCATGTACACACATACACACGAGTACATAAACAATCTTGCAGGCACTTGAATGTGCTTACAGTCCTGATAGAGATATCTCCTTCGGTGTTGTTAGCAGAAATGGGAAAAAAAACCTGTTCAGGATCAATGGAAAAGGATGTAGAGACCCTTCATTCCACCTTGGTCCCCTTAAATTTGAGAGACACTACTGCTGATGACAGTGGAGAAACAGTGATTTCCTCCCAGACTCCCAACTGAAGATGGGGTAGCAGGCTAAGAACTGCTTGTGCATCATGGGCTAAAGGTGGCAACACATATGAATAAAGTAATGGACGTAGGTTCAGGAGTCCTGAGTTGAAATCCTGTCTCACCCATGGAAATTCAAGGGGCAGATTGGTGGAAACTGGTAAAACCATTGCTTAAATATCTCACTTACTTTGGAAGCTGTTATCAGGGTCACCATGTGTTGGTTCTAAGTTGGTGAGTCATTATACACATGGCACAGCTACCTGCAGAAAATGGTTCTCTCCTCACACAAGTGGTAAAAGGTCTACATCAGCTAATTCTGAGTCCACTTTTAGTGTCTGTATGGATTGTCTTCTGTCCTTTAACTGTTAGACGTTGTTAGGTGTACGAGCATCTTGAGTGCACATTTAGAAAACTTTATGTCTACCTAAGGAGCATCTCCAGATTGCTCCTATAAGAAAGATGGGGATCACAAAGGGGTACCAGAACTGGGCTCCAGTCAGAAAGAACCTTCCAGTTGCCATACGTGGAGTTTTCCCATATGAAACTTGGATTCAGATCTCCATAATGTCCCTCAGTGTCACTTCATATCGTTATAGACCTTGTCCTTGACAAGAGGCCGATTTCTCATTGCTTTGTTTATCTACCTGGCCCTTGGGTTTTCACTATTTCTCTAGTGGGCTTGGTTTGCAGATAAGCAAACAAGTCTCTCAAACTACCCTCATCCAAAGGAGTGTACCTTTGTAAACATGCTTGCTGATGAAAAAGGTTGATATTTGATAAGTTTTCCACTGTTGAGCATCTCTTGGCTTCTGTCCCTTCTCTAGCCTGCTGTTGATTCAGCCCCATGGGGAGGAGAGAAAAGGCAGAAAAGCAACCAGGCAGTGGAAAAACAGAAGCATATTAATACAAAATCTGTTACTCATGGGTCCCTCATGCAAGCGATGGGCAACATAATGAAAAGCTCAGAGAAACAATATGCCTTCTGCCCTATTTCTCCCTAAGGACCTTTCTTTTACTTATTTATTTAAAGCAATAATTATAGCACATCTCACCTTTCTGTTCCATAAACACTGGGAGCAGTAGCAATTGCTTATTATTTGATCAGTACCACAGCTGCTCAAACAGAAAAATGCAAGGGATTCCAGATGCCTCCAGGTGTTCTGAATTCCTATGCATTGGGTTTAACTATGCATTTCTGTCGATGCACATCCCAGCCTCCAAATACTTCCCTCTTGTCCTTTAGACGAGGAGAAACTTTGCTACAAGCCCATGTTAAGAACTTTTCCTGGGAGCTGATTCTGTTCATGTGGATACTTCTGTTAAGTTACCACCTAGTGCTATGGACCTTGAATTCAGGAGTCAAGATTTGAGAGGCAGCACATCAAACAGCATCACAAAGGTCTCCATGGAGATCTCTAAAGGAGGCCAGTAGCATTAGCACCAACATGTCATAGATGGAGGGCTGAACTGGAGATAAACCAAGGTCAAGAATGTGGCTAAGCCTTTCCCTTTTACATAATGAGGGAGGGAGGGATGAAAGGAGGAAAGAAGGCAGGAAAAAGGAAGGGAGGAGGGAGGGAGGGAGGAAGGAAGGAAGGAAGGAAGGAAAGAAGGAAGGATGGATGGATGGATGGATGGATGGATGGATGGATGAGCACTTTTGATAACACTACTCTTAAGCTTACCACCACGAGAAGAGGCACATCTGAGAGACAGACTTTCATTAGACTCTTCCTTTGTCAGTTTAGCTTTCCTGAGCTGGTCTCTCTTGAACAGGCCATTTGGACAAGAGTCCTTTCATTTCCCTGGCTGGGAGATAGACACTCCCCCACCAGCTGTCCATCTTTGCTTTCCTTTTACCCTTCTAATGAACGACCTGTTCATTACCAGGATCCATTTCACTGTCATGGAGAAATAATGCTCTGGAATGGGAGGCAGAAGGAGGGGACCTTGCAGCTGCCTGCCGTTCATCTTCTCTCTTGTTGGGCTCCAGAGACAACAATGAGGACAAGCACAAAAGAGCAAAAGAAAAAGAAAAAAGTCCATCCACCAGAGTGTCTCGTTCGTCTGAAACTGAAGTGCCAATCCTGTGGAGAACAAGGAGCGACAGAGAACCAGAGGGTCCCTAAGCCCTGAATCTAGTTACAACCCCCACAACCAATCTGCATTTAGTGCTGACAACAAGCTTTGGACTGACAGCTCCCAAAAGCAAAGATTTATTGATCAGCAGTGCCTGGAGAGCTCGAAATGTCACTGAGCCGCCATGGTTGCAAAATGCCTTTGTATATTAGAGGGCGAGCTTCTCTGCAAGAATGGGATGGGTTAGAAATGCCGAAGCAACTCTTTGACTAGGAAGAGGTGAAGTGCTTAGCTTGTTGAGTACATCAGTCTACTCCCAGTTCCAGCTCGTTTGTGCTAAATGTTGCCTGCCAATCAGATCACCAATATAACGGTAGAGAGAGCAGAGATCAGGTCACTAATATAAACCTGTGGGGTAGCCAGACATGCATGGTACTAGGCAACTAATCTGGAAACTAGATAGCACCCTGGTGAGGTTGGAAGTTCTGGGAGTTTTAGTTTAAAAAAGTAACTTTTCCAAGCTATGAAGAAACTAAACATACAAACTGTGGAAGTACTGAACAGAACAGTAAGTCTTGAGCTTGTCAGACACTCTTGCACTAGGGACCATACAGACAACACCTCCTTCATATCATAGGCCTTGTGTGCTGTGTTGTCTGGTCGCAGACTCGGGCTGCACACAAGTCTGACAGGGAGGAGACTCACTGCAAGTCTCCAAGTCAAAGGATTGTACCTTTAAGCATTTCCTTAAGTTGGGAGTTCAATTCCTCACTGTGGATCTTTGAGAGGGGCTGGACGTGATGATCCATAGGGTCCCTTCCAGCTCTGCAGTTCTAATACAATGACGACAGTGGTGAAATGGGTGGAAACTGGGAGGTTTCCTCTTGCTCAGAAAGGATAAAACAAGTGTTTTGGGTAAGTTTGGAGTTGTCCAGGGTTGGAGCTCTCCAAGGGCCTATGATGGGACCTTGGAGCTGTCCAAGGTTCTGTAACTGTAACCTCGAGCTATCCATGGTTGTGTAACTCCAGTTCAACGTTATGCACTTGATTAAACCACCCTGAGGCATTTGTCATGCTCCGCTGTTAGGACAAAACATAATCAAGATTCCCATCTTGAGCTGCTCTGAGTCATGTCTGCACTCCAAAAAGAGCTCAGTCCAATCATGAAACTACTGTATGTGCTAGATAGAAGTCTCAGTTTTGCCCTGTAGCATTTAAGAGCAAAATATGTGCTAGATAGAAGGTCTCAGTTTTGCCCTGTAGCATTTAAGAGCACACTATCTATCCCAGAAGACATGGCGGAGGCTTGCAAATCGGAGACCCTTCTGATTTAGGTGGCCCCCAACTTCAATCACCTCCTGCTAGTATGATCCTAATAACTGGACCTGTAATCCACTAACCTCTGAAGGACAGCAGACAGCCTTTCTCTTGTCTAAATGGCTCTCCTATCCGACCAGAGAGAGAGAGAGAGAGAGAGAGAGACTGCCCTTCTTCCTGTCTTTGGCCTTCACCTTCCTCCTTTTGTTGTTGTTCATCAGCTCTATCTTTGGAGTTCTTTTCTCTTCACCCACTTAGCCAAGTCTCGGAGATGGCGCACGCTGTGCCTAAGGGTCTCACTAGTCTTACAATGAAGCTTGATGACTTCCTAGTTAATCCACTTCCCCAGGGTTGATTTTTCTTCTAGTGAAAACACCAGGGAGAAGAAAAGCTTATACTCTACTCAGAAGTGCTGTTGCTGTCTCTCAGACAGCCATTCCTAAATCAAAGAAATAAAGCACCTTCAATGCTGTGTTTGTCTTTCTCGGTGTTAATTTGTTTCTACTCTTGGTCATGCGGGGGTTTTGTTTTATAGCGGCTTTCTGACCAAACGCCCTTTTGATTGAAGCAGTGTCAGCTTCCAAACACTCAGAGAAAGTTTTATCTCTAATTGCCTGCCAGGATCAAACTCTTTTCTAGATTGTCAACGGGCAGTGACAGTTAATATCCTTTCATTAAGAGCTCACTGTGTCTCAGGCGCCAGCAGTTTGGGTCTAAAGAAGATTCTTGTCCTTATGAATGGGAGTTTTATTGACCCACCAAGTGACAACTGATCCCAGTTCTTCCTCCATAAATTCAAAGGGTCTTCAGAGCTGAGGAATATACATCCTATTAGAGATTTGTGGAATTTGTTTTGGTGTTTTGTGGAATTTGTTTCAGAACCATATGGTTCTGAAATTAGCAGTCGGGTCTAATAATAATAATCATTATGTGCCATTAAGTCAATTCTAACTTATGACAACCCTTTTCAGGGTCTTCTAGGTAGGGAATACTTAGACATGGTTTACCATTACCTCCCCAAATGGCCCCCAATTTAAAAAATAAAATAAAATCTTAATTCCTGTTTTTGAAAATCATCGGAATAACATGTCCTTTTGAAAAATGCGTGGCAATGTTTACATTAAAAGCGTTTTGAAAAAGGGCATAAAAACACACACAAATTTTCACGCACAGCAGAGGAAGACCCAAATAATATGCAGAATCCAGATGGAACGAATTTAGCAAATGGTAAAAGAGAACTCGAATGAAATTGAGCTTGACAGAAACACTTACCCTTAATGGGAAGATCACAGGATCACATGCTAGCAGAAATATTTGGGGAAATTTGCCAAGCTGGTTCTTCTCCCTTCATTGTAGAATTGGGTTCTGGGCTGCTTTGGAACATTTCGGTCATTACAGGTTGATGCTTTAATGAATGAATGAAGCTCCCCTCTGTGCAACCCATTCTTAGGGGAAAGGAAGACCCAAAATGAGCAAGCATTTTCAGCTGCTTTCATACTACAGGTCTCCAACTTCCCTGACTTTTCTCAAAAACCAGGTCAAGGAGGTATTCAGCACCAACTCCCCTTCTCAGGTGGATTATTAGCCCCATTATGGAATATATAACCTTTACTGAAGAGAGGATGTTTTCTAACACATTAATTTGACTCATAATCAGGCATTAATGTTCAGAAAGGCAATACCTACTCTACTGTAATTGCTTTTGGGGGGTGTCCTGATGCTAAGGGAAGAAGTAAAACTCATTTTCAGGCTCCCCCCTTCCCCTACCCTCTCTTCTTCCTCTCCCCCTGCCCCCCGTTTCAGCAGAATTGATTTTTTTTTCCTTGGCACGGCTTCTTTTTCTTCATTATGAGTTGTTATATTTCATCATTACAAGACTTTCATATTTCAGTGCCTTCTCATTACATTTTTATAATTCCCTCTCTCAATATTAACATATGAGGGCAGAGCCAGGAAAGTGGATTTCAACAGGCTGCAGCCCATATTAATGCCTCCATGTGCCATGGAGTTAATTAGTGGCCATATTTCCTGCCATTCCTGACCTTTGGAGAAGATGACAACAATCTGTTTTCATTCCTCCCTTGCTTGATTACATGGTTGCCTTCCCATCCAGGAGGCATCCCAGTGGAAACACAGCTAATGCTTGCCTAAATTTCATATTCACCCTTTGAGATCTCCTCAGACTGTAAATAGATTTCCCTCCCTTCCTGGTAGATTAATGTTCATGCTTCCTATTTTAAGGGAACTCTTTCCACTGTGATTTGTCTTCTACAGGGGAAGGGACCATGTGATCCTACATATGCAGTTGGACTACAATTCCCACGAGAGTCCTGCCACTGACTAGGTTGGCAAAGGCTCCTGGGAGTTGAAGTCTAACAACATCTGGGGGCTTTGACATCTGGTGCCCATCTGGGACTGGTAGAGAAGGATAAATAGTGGAACAGAAGTCAAAGAGGTGGAGATAACTAATTTGGGTTTTGTTTGTTCTTCATCCCTTGAAACGACTGCAGTAGAAATCGACAGCTAACAACTAATTGAACTGGAGAATTATCTCTTATATTGCTTCAAGAGGCCTCCACTTGCCCATTTCCTTAGTAGACCATCCATCACTGTCCTGTGGTCCACAAGAGCTTAAAGCTCCTAGTTGACTAAGACTGGCTGGTCGTAATTGTTTGGCTGTGCTGTTGCTCCAGCTGAATGGGAAGCACACTATGGATTCTAGAACTTTATAGTGAGAAGGAAACTTGATGGTGCCTTGGTCCATCTTGGTTATGCAGGATGCAACTACAAATTGATCAGAGCCCATTGTTACTCATCTTCCCATGCAGTGAGCAGCCATTCAACAGTATTGTGGTCATTCTTTTATCTTCTAGCTAAAAAGTAGGGAAGATGGGTTGAATTTCCTTTTGATCAAACTGGTTT